CTCCTCCTCCTCCTCCTCCTCCTCCTCCTCCTCCTCCTCACCGTCCCCACCCCCAGCCAGGGGGCATCTGAAGCCCCTAAGTCGCAGCTGCTCCCCGGGAGGAGCCCCAGGGGCGCAGGCAGGCTGAGGTGGGCTCTGTGTGTCCCCAGGCCTGGGGCTGCTGGCCAGCGTGTACCCGGAGGACTCGGCGAGGGGCAGTGCCATGGGGATCGCCCTGGGGGGCCTGGCCTTGGGAGTGCTGAGTAAGGAGCCCCCGTTCCCACCGGGACACGGAAGATCTCCTGTTCCTGCAATAACCCCACCTGCCTGGCCGGGCACTCCCCGGGCTGCTGCTCCCTCCCTCCCTCCGCCCCTCCCCGGCATCCCCTGTGGGACTGACACCTCCCCAAACAGCCACAGGGACCCAGAGCAGCTCAAGGACCTGGGGACAGTGACACTGCCGGGATCTGGGGACAGTGACACTGCCGGGATCTGGGGACAGTGACACTGCTGGGATCTGGGGACAGTGACACTGCCGGGATCTGGGGATGATGGCACTGCTGGGATCTGGGGACAGTGACACTGCCGGGATCTGGGGATGATGGCACTGCTGGGATCTGGGGACAGTGACACTGCCGGGATCTGGGGTGGTGGCACTGCCAGGATCTGGGGACAGTGACACTGCCGGGATCTGGGGACAGTGGCACTGCCAGGGTGTGACCCAGCCGTTCCCTTGCAGCTGGCACTGCTGAGGCCACACCTCGTGTGCCGTGTCCAGTCCTGGCCCCTCAGTTTGGGAAGGACATTGAGGAGCCAAGAAGGCTGTGAGGGGCTGGAACACAAACCCTGTGAGGAACAGCTCAGGGAGCTGGGCTTGTTCAGCCTGGAGAAAAGGAGACTCAGAGGTGACCTGGTCACTCTGCACAGCTCCCTGAAAGGAGGCTGTGGGCAGCTGGGCTCGGTCTCTTTCTCCAGGCAGCACTGACAGAACGGGAGGACACGGCCTCAAGCTGCACCAAGGAAATTTAGGCTGGATGTTAGGAAAAAGCTCTTCATGGAAAGAGTGATAAAATACTGGAATGCTCTGCCTGGGGAGGTGGTGGAGTCACCATCCCAGGATGTGTTTAAAAAAGACTGGATGTGGCACTCGGTGCCGTGGTTTGGTTGAGGCGTTAGGGCTGGGTTGGACTTGATGATCTTGAAGGTCTCTTCCAACCCAGTGATCCTGTGATCCTGTGATCCTGTGATTCACTGATTCTGTGATTGTGTAATTCACTGATTCTGTGATTCTGTAATTCATTGATCCTGTGATTCTGTGATTCAGTGATTGTGTAATTCACTGATTCACTGATTCTGTGATTCTGTGATTCAGTGATTCTGTGATTCAGTGATTCTGTGATTCTGTGATTCAGTGATTGTGTAATTCACTGATTCTGTGATTCTGTGATTCAGTGATTGTGTAATTCACTGATTCACTGATTCTGTGATTCTGTGATTCAGTGATTGTGTAATTCACTGATTCACTGATTCTGTGATTCTGTGATTCAGTCGGGGCACCCTTCGGGAGCATCATGTACGAATTCGTGGGGAAATCATCGCCCTTCCTGGTCCTGGCCTTCCTCGCCCTCTTGGATGGAGGTGAGAAACCAAAGGGTTAAACCCTCCAAATAAAGGAAATTATTGAAATGTGGCTGTTTTGGGGAGAGCCCGCGGGGAGGAAGAGGCACATCAACACAGACGGGTGATACCATCAGCACCGGTTATTCCATCAGGGCTAAATCCTATTTTTGCCATCTCCAGATGACTGACACAGCAACAGAGCAGGAATTAATCCCTCATTGCTTAAAAACCCCCCTGATTGCTTTAATGGCTCAAACAGCACATTGAGTAAAGCTCTTTGAACTGTGAATTCTTTGGCAAGACACTCTTGTCTGCAGCCTCTCGGTGCCACGAAGGAATCAGGCTTTGCCAGCAGAAATGGTCCCAGATGGAGGCCACGGGAGCTTCCCGAGTGCCACAGCAGAGTTCCAGCCAGCAGGAGCTTTATTTGCAGTGGGAAGCACGGAGCTAATTAAATTACAGCCCCAGTTCCCATCCTTGTCTGGCTGCAAAGCAAGATATCCGTAATGAAGCGTGTAAGAGCCGCTGGAAAATGAAACGTGGGCCTCGTGCCTCTCAACCTTCCTGCTTTAATCCTTTTCTGTTCCTCATCCCATTCCTGCCACGCTCCGGTGGCAGCTCCCCAGCTGGCAGCCCGAGGGGAGCATTTGCCCTTTGGACGGCTCCAGGGCTTGACAAAACCCTTCCAAGGCTCTCCGGGCAGTTCTGCTGCTCCCTCCCGCCCCACCAGGCCCCCAAACAGCTCCTGCTGCCGGGCTGGCTCGGGCTGAGGGGAAGGGCACGGAGTGAGTGGTGGCTGCAGGAAGGAGCCAGCAGCAGTGTTCTGTCCCCAGCTCTGCAGCTGTGCATCCTGCAGCCCTCCCGGATCTGCCCGGAGGTGAGCGTGGAGCTGGCCCGCGGAGGTGGGCGCTGCCCGGGGCTGGGGGCTGTGCCAGGGGCCAGCGGAGGGCACGCACAGCCCCCAGCCCAGCTCGCCCCCTTTGCAGAGCACCAAAGCCACCGCCGTGTCCACCCTGCTGCGAGACCCCTACATCCTGGTGGCTGCAGGTAAAACTAAAACCTGGCCCTGGTTAAAGATTCCCTGGGGCCTGCTTGCAACAGCAGCAAAATGGGCCCAAAGAGAGCTTTTCTCCCTTTTCTCCCTTTCCTTCCTTTTCTCACATTTCTGCCTTTTCTCTCTTTCCTTCCTTTTCTTTATTTTCTCCCTTTCCTTCCTTTTCTCCCATTTCTCCCTTTTCTCACATTTCTGCCATTTCTCCCTTTCCTTCCTTTTCTCCCGTTTCTCCCTTTTCTCTCTTTCCTTCCTTCTCTCCCATTTCTCCCTTTTCTCACATTTCTGCCTTTTCTCTCTTTCCTTCCTTTTCCCCGTTTCTCCCTTTTCTCACATTTCTGCCTTTTCTCCCTTTCCTTCATTTCCTCCCATTTCTCCTGTTTCTCCCTTTTCTCACATTTCTGCCTTTTTCCCCTTTCCTTCATTTCCTCCCATTTCTCCCATTTCTCCTGTTTCCCCCATTTCTCCCATTTTTCCTGTTTCCCCCATTTCTCCCATTTCCCCCATTTCTCCCGTTTCCCCCATTTCCCCCATTTCTCCCGTTTCTCCCATTTCCCCCATTTCTCCCGTTTCTCCCATTTCCCCCATTTCCCCCACTTCTCCCACTTCTCCCACTTCTCCTGTTTCTCCCGTTTCCAGGAGCCCTGTGTTTCTCCAACATGGCTGTGGCCATGCTGGAGCCCACGCTGCCCATCTGGATGCTGCAGACCATGTGCTCCCCGCAGTGGCAGCTCGGTAGGTCCGTGAGCTTCGGAGAGTTCAGAATCCCAGAAAAACTCCCCAAGACCCTTCGAGTCCGACCTGTGGCTGATCCCAACCCCGAGCACCGAGTGCCACATCCGGGAGCTCCTTGGACAATTCCAGGGACCAGGATCTGTCCCTGCCTTGGCACTGCGGGAGGGATTGAATCATCTTTTACATCACTCAAAAAAAAACCCAAAAAGAAACATCTGCCCTCCTGCCTGTGCAGCGAGCGATCCCAGGCTGGGCACGGCTCCAATTCCAGCTGGAAATGTCCTCAGTGGTGGCTGCTCTGCTCTGTTATTGATAAAATTGTGTGGAATTTGCTGGCCAGCAGAGCAGTAACGGGGCAGGGAGGCAGCGGGGTGCCCTGGGAGCCCATCTTCTGCAGGGCAGGGAATGGGCTCGTGCTGGGCTGGGATTGGGGAGGCCAGATGGGCTCTGCAGAGGCAGCTCCGAGTGAGATGACGCCGTTCCCAGCACCCCAGGCAGGGCAGGATGGGCTCTGCTGATTGCCAGCTGCCCGGAAAATGGGATGTGGAGATAACAAGCGCCTGTGTTTGCTGCAGAAACAGCCAGGAATGGTGATAAAACCCAAGTGGCGCAGGAATGACCCGGGGGGTGCCCTGGGCTGCACTTAGATCCCAAATTGGATTGCAGGCTGCAAGCAGGGGGCTGGAACTGCTCCTGATTGAGTTATCCTCAGCAACAGCCAGGCACTAAAAGCTTCTCCAGAGCAAGGAAGGGCCAGGGGAAAGCGGCACCCAGGGATCCTGGCAGTGGGAGAAGGGACAGAACCCAGGGAAAAAGCACTCAGAGCTCCCCTGTCACCACCAGAGAAGCTTCAAGGTGACTTAACAGAAGAAAATCCCAAATATATTCCCTAAGATGTTCAGGGACCTGAGATCTGAGAGCAGTTTGGGTTCAGAGTTCGACACGAACCCACCCCCTCTCACGAGCTGTTCTAAACTCAAGGGGCTTCTTTATCCTGTCTCCTTCTCCCATAATTGTGGGGAAAAGAACCCAGAAGAGCTTGGGCTAAACCTGCAGGATTAACCACGTGCTGCAGCTGTTAGAGGAGAGGAAATTAAACACAAATCAGCGTGTTCCAATAAGGAAGGTGTCCCGGGAAAATGGAGCTGATCACTTTTATTTATTGTCAGCAGGAGAGGATATGAAAAATAAACAACTGGTACAGCAGCAGGGAGAGCAAATATTTAATTGTGAGCTACATAATGATCCCCAAGCTTTTTACCTTTATTCCTCTTTATTTAGTGAGGGAAAAGGTGGAAAGGTGGAACAGGGAGAAACTGTGACAGGAGATGTTCACGTGCCTGGCCTGGCTCATGATATTCTCCAAATGAGGCAGTTGGGGAGCGAAAATCTGTGCAAATCTGTATTTTCTTGGGCACAAGACACTTTTCAATCATTTCTGTCTCTCAGGGATGGCGTTCCTGCCTGCCAGCGTCTCCTACCTCATTGGTACCAACCTCTTTGGGATTCTGGCTAACAGGATGGGCAGGTAAGGGGGATATTAAAGATATCAGCCCAAATTTCAGCACGTTCTGCTCGAGGCTGAGAGCTCCTGCGCTGTTCTCACGTTGCAGGTGGCTGTGCTCCATGATTGGAATGGCTGTGGTGGGAATCAGCCTCCTCTGTGTGAGTAGCGCTGGGGAATCCGAGGAGTCTCCGCAGGGATTTTCGCGGTCCTGCCACAGCAAATGCTCAGGGGCTGCACCTCTGGGTGGGTTTTGCAGATCTAGGAAAGGTCTCCAGATCTTAAGGCTGAGAGATTTGGGATTGTTCAGCCTGGAAAAGGCTGCGGGGTGACCGAATTCTGGCTTCAGGTGCAGGACTTGAAGGGAGCCTGCAGGGAAAATGGGGAGAGAGGATTTACAGGGGATGGAAGGACAGAACAAGGGGAAATGGGTGACAGAGGGCAGGGTTGGGTGGGATATTGGGAAGATATTCCTTCCTGTGAGGGAGGGGAGAGGCTGGGATGGAATTCCCAGAGGAGCTGTGGCTGCCCCTGGATCCCTGGGAGTGCCCAAGGCCAGGTTGGAGCACCCTGGGATAGTGGAAGGTGCCCCTGCCCATGGCACGGGGTGGGACAGAAAGAGCTTTAAGGTCCCTTTCATCCAACCCATTCCATGATTCCATGATTCCATGCCCTGTGTCCCACCTTCCCACCTCCCACAGCCTCTCACCTCCTCTCTCTCCTCTCCCAGGTCCCCATGGCCACCAACATTTACGGGCTGATCGGCCCCAACGCCGGCCTGGGCTTTGCCATAGGTAAGCCGGGGGTGCTGTGGCTGCTCCCGGGCAGCTCCCCGGGGGCCGCGGGGACTGAGGAGCCCCTCGTGCCCCGGGCAGGAATGGTGGACTCCTCCATGATGCCCATCATGGGCTACCTGGTGGACCTGCGCCACACCTCAGCCTACGGCACCGTCTACGCCATCGCCGACGTGGCCTTCTGCATGGGCTTTGCCGTCGGTAGGAGGGCTTTACTCGCAGTGTAGCTACTCAGGGTGTATCTCCCCCGGCGTTTTGTCCCTTTCTGAGGTTTGGGTTTGCAGGTCCCTCCACGGGCGGGGCGATTGTGCGAGCCCTGGGCTTCCCCTGGCTGATGGTCATCGTTGGGGTGCTGAACGTGGCCTACGCCCCGCTCTGCTGGCTCCTGCGCAGCCCCCCGGCCACCGAGGAGAAGATGGTCAGTCAGGGGCGCTTTCCTGGAGTTTTACATCCCAGGGATTTGAGGGAATTGGGAATAAATTTGCCAGGGGTGGCGCGTTCCGTGTTGGGCTCTATGCCGCCCACAAGCACCGACCAAAAAAACTCAGATAAAAGGAGGAAAATTTAGAGGGTCCTTCCCTGCACTCACGGGAAAAGTCTGCTTTGGCTTTTCCCGCTGTGATAATGCTCCTGTTAACTGTTCAAGGGAATGGTTATTTGTACTAAAGCACCATTTCTGCTCTGCTTCACCCAGGCCATCCTGAGGCAGGAGTGCCCCATGCAGCCCCGAAGCTGCGCCCCCAAGGAAGCCCAGCGGGAATTCCCGCCGGCGGAGGCAGAAAACGTGGAATAACCAGGGCAAGGAATGCATTCCCTGCTTTGGAGTCAATATTCTGCTTACAGAGCGTGGATGTGGCCAATTTAGCCGTGTCAGGCTGAATTTCCAACCTCTGCTCCAGCCATCCATTTAGTGAAGCCGCTGTGGGATGTAACGGTGGAATCAGGTGGCAGTGAAGATGGCACTGCAATGTCACCGCTCCTCTGAGGACACTAAAAACCCTTCATTTGTGTCTTGCTATAGTCTGATGTATTGTGCTATGTCTGTGCTACTCGGAGCTGCTCGTGCGTCCTTCCCAACATGCATTAAATTCATTTATTGGTTTGAAGACCTCTCAAGAAACTGAGCTGGGAATACGGTTTAGAATTAGCCAACAAAGCCAGTTAGATCGCTGTACTTAATGCGGTGCTGCACACGGGGGTCTCAGAAGCTCTGAGGAAAAAATCAGGCAGAGAATCTGCGGTTTCCCCCACGGCTCCAGAGTACAGAATTAACCTGTTCCAAACACATCGCTCGGGGGCCCTCAGGGTCTGTTGGAGTAAGGGTTGGTTTCATCACCGCCCTGAGGGGGCGCGGCCCCGCCGCCATG